TATGACCTTGTCTAAATAAGATAAGAGTCGGAGAACTCAGAGGGCTTCCATAGCCTTGGAAACTCATGACTGGAGCATAGGGAGATTACTGATGCCATAGACAGGAGTGTCAATTGGTAAAGTCAACAACAGGAGTCACTGTGCACTTACTCCTCATGTAGGATCTCAGTCCTTAATGTGCTGTACATTGAGGCTTAATGCTATAACGAGTACTCAAGCAATATATTTCACTTTGTGTTTCTATGGGTGTGCAAACTGTTGAAATCTTTACATAATGCATACTAAACTGATCTTCTGTAAAAAAAAATGAAAAAAAAACAAATTATCAATTCCCAATTTGACTCTCACTGGGATTAAACATGACAATAGGTCTGATCTGATTTCATCATCATTTAAAAAATCATCTATTATTTTTCACTTTATGTTTCTGTGTGGGAGCAAACTGTTGAAATCCTTACTTAATGTATACTAAGCTGATCTTCTGTATATTAAGAGAATTGAAAATGAATCCTCATGTGAATGGAAGGGGAGAGGGAATGGGAAAGAGGAGGGTTGTGGGTGGGAGGGACGTTATGGGGGGGAAGCCATTGTAATCCATAAGCCGTACTTTGGAAATTTATACTCATTAAATAAAAGTTAAAAAGAAAAAAGAAAAAAAAGCTATAACTAGTACTCAAACAGTATTTTACACTTTGTGTTTCTATTTGGTTGCAAACTGTTGCAATCTTTACTTAATATATGCTAAACTGATCTATGTATATAAAGAGAATTGAAAATGAATCTTGATGTGAATGGAAGAGGAGAGGGAGCTGGAAAGGGGAGGGTTGCGGGTGGGAGAGAAATTATGGGCGGGAAGCCATTGTAATCCATAAGCTGTACTTTGGAAATTTATATTCATTAAATAAAAGTTAAAAAATAAATATGTACACACAGCACTGTAGTCTTTTTTTTTTTCTTGACAGGCAGGGTGGACAGTGAGAGAGAGAGACAGAGAGAAAGGTCTTCCTTTGCCGTTGGTTCACCCTCCAATGGCCACCGCGGCCTGTGCACTGCGCTGATCCGATGGCAGGAGCCAGGTGCTTATCCTGGTCTCCCATGGGGTGCAGGGCCCAAGTACTTGGGCCATCCTCCACTGCACTCCCGGGCCACAGCAGACAGCTGGCCTGGAAGTGGGGCAACCAGGACAGAATCCGGCGCCCCGACCGGGACTAGAATCCGGTGTGCCGGCGCCGCAAGGCGGAGGATTAGCCTAGTGAGCCGCAGCGCTGGCCCAAGCACTGTAGTCTTAATTTAAAAAAAAAAAGCATTTAAATAAAAAGATTAGCAAGCCCAACTTTCACAGTGGGACATAGAAAAATGCTCTCTGCTTCCTATCATGTTTCTTGCCAATATATTTTATGAGGCAGCAGATAATGGCCCAAGTGCTTGGGCTCCTGGCACCGATGTGGGAGACCCAAATGAAGCTGTGGCTGCTGGTTTTTGCCTGGCCTAAGTTTGTCTGCTCAGGTATTTGTGGAGTGAACCAGTGGATGAAAGATGATATGTATGCGTGTGCGTCTGTTTCTCCCTCTATTCCCTCCTAGCTCTCTTTCCGATAAATGAACATTTTTTGAAAAGTGATGGCAATAAAATAGATGACTCACCAGACTAAAAGAGGAGAAAGGTCTGTAAATACAGTGCTAGTAACAAAAAGCTATATAACCGAAACATAGGGCTTTAAAAATAATAATAGAGGGGCCAGCGCCGTGGCTCACTTGGCTAATCCTCTGCCTGCGGCACGGAATCCCATATGGGCCCCAGGTTCTAGTCCTGGTTGCTCCTCTTCCAGTCCAGCTCTCTGCTGTGTCCCGGGAAGGCGGTGGAGGATGGCCCAAGTGCTTGGGCACCTGCACCCGCATGGGAAACCAGGAAGAAGCACCTGGTTCCTGGCTTCAGATCGGTGTAGCTCCGGCCGTAGCCGCCATTTGGAGGGTGAACCAACGGAAGGAAGACCTTTCTCTCTGTCTCTCCTTCTCACTGTCTGTAACTCTACCTGTCAAATAAATAAATAAAAAATATTTTAAAAATAATAATAGAATACTATGAATAAAATTTATCTCAAGATATTACTTACTGTTTATGATTTAATTTATTGTAAAGGCAGAGAGAGAGAGCAAGTGAGCTACCATCTGCTGGTTCATTCCCCAAATATTTGCAACAACGAGGGCTGGCTGAAACTGAAGCAAGCAGCTGGGACCTCCATGTGGTTCTCCCACATAGGTAGCAGAGGCCTAACTACCCAGGCCATAATCTGCTGCCTTGCAGGGTGTACATTATTAGGAAATGGGAACTGAGAGTGGATCCAGCACTTGACCCAGGCAGTCTGATATGGGATGTAGGGGTCCCAAGTGGTATCTTAACCTCTAGGTTAAATGCCCACACCAGCACATATTAAACTTCCTTCTGAAAAATATAAAATCCAAATAATAATAAACATTCAAAAATATCAAATTGATGACCATAGTTCTCCTATAACCAGAGAACACCGAGCCATATATTTTTAGAGGAAATCTTATTGGTGTTCAAATGACTGCTAATTTTCATATTATGTAAAACCTTTTGAGAACAAAAGGGACAGCTATCTGGTTGGTTGTATAATACTGATACTAAGAGCATAAATGGAAAGAAGAAATATAATTCATTGTATAAGTCTGGAAGTAGACATAAATACAAACATTTCAATAAAAAACTAATAAACCAAATGTAGCATTTTAAATAGCAAATAAAACAGAAATTCAGGTAAAATATTATGAGATAAATGGGAACCTTATATACTTTAAAATGAGACATGGAAGAAAGTTTAGCCAATGGGTTTGTATGTTTAATAAGTTGGGACATCAGGTAATAGTAATGGTTCCTGTGAGGTCACCGTGCCCTTGGACATCAGTATGAAGGAGTAGCATCACTCCAGTACTTAAGAGTACAGTTTGAACTCTAACAATCATCCTACCCAATAGGTGGGAGAAGGAAAAGTTCATTTCAGATTGTCTGTGAGTGAACTCTCTCAGGGCAAAAAATAATTGATTTATTAATTCTCAACTGGTTGTTACATAAATTAAGATAGATAACTTTAGGAAATTACACTCTGCTTCCTTTATATTTGTATATGAAAATGGATTTAGATAAAAGAATTAAAAATCAATGCATAAAATGACCATCAAGTGATCTCAGTTGTAGTCCCTGAAATTAAAATACAGTGTCAGTTCTTTTCAGAAGGAAGAAAAAATAGTTGTAGTCATAGGCCTTAGGGGATCTTGAGCTCTCTTTGCCCCCTTGGGCTCAAAATCACTTGAAATTAAAGAACAGAGATTGTTTTCTGATGAGAATATTCCTTCTTTGTTTTGACTCTAGTTACATCCTACAAAATAGGACTTAACAAGCCCCTTTGGGACAACTGATCCACTTTTCTGACTTCTTAATCTGTTCCTACAACTTCTTGCTACCTGGTCTTATTTTGTGAATTGTATTTCTTAAGGAGACTTGATTTTCAAAAAAAAATGTATCAGATACATGTTCAGGTAAGGTATAACAAAACTCAAACAAACCTGAGGAGGGTGGGAATAATGATTGGGCTACACCTACACTAAATACCAATTAATCTATCAAAGGGTTAGTAAGTGGGGAAATGTTGGAGTTCTTACAACTATAGTTAATCTGAGTTTGTGGCCACTATAATGCATGAAGAGGTTTATAGAAGTCGTTCTACTGGCTGGCGCTGCGGCTCACTAGGCTAATCCTCCGCCTAGCGGCGCCGGCACACGGGGTTCTAGTCCCGGTCGGGGCGCTGGATTCTGTCCCGGTTGCCCCTCTTCCAGGCCAGCCCTCTGCTGTGGCCAGGGAGTGCAGTGGAGGATGGCCCAGGTGTTTGGGCCCTGCACCCCATGGGAGACCAGGAAAAGCACCTGGCTCCTGGCTCCTGCCATCGGATCAGCGCGGTGCGCCGGCCGCGGTGGCCATTGGAGGGTGAACCAACGGCAAAAGGAAGACCTTTCTCTCTGTCTCTCTCTCTCACTGTCCACTCTGCCTGTCACAAAATAAATTAAAAAAAATAAAAAAAAAAAAAAGAAGTCGTTCTACTGCTTCTTAAATTTGCAGACACGGCTCCTATGGTGAGTGAAGAAGTCATCAGCTTGGGTCTCTTTCTTTGAGTCTCCCTCCCAGGAAAATCAGAGGGAAGAATAGGGAGAGCCCCTTCTCCAGGGCAGGGGCAGGTAGCAGTGTGTGTGGTGGAATTTCCTCCACCTCAGCCAGACTTTCAGGGCATTCTGAGAGGCAGCTGAGCCAAGCAGAGGATAAAATCAACGTTCAGCCTCCGCTGGCCAATTTTCTTCCAAGGATTTTCTTGGAGAAGGGTTTCAACACTAACTTACAGGTGTTCTTTCCATCTTTTCTCATTTTTAGTTGTAAGCCACGAGTAAGTTTCCTGTCATATCCAATCTTTGTTCATCATGCATCTTCAGCTAGACTAAAACTACCATGCAAATTGCAGTTGTTCTTGTTTTTTAATGTCAAGTTTCTGTGATTTATAGACTGATGCTTTCATGATAATTTAAAATTACAATTTCCCTTAGATACACCTATTATGGATAATTTAATTCGATGCCTCTTGTGTTGAATTTCTTGTCTGGATTTTAGGATTAAGAACTGTTTGAGAGATTTGCTTAATAGTTTCTATTGCCTCATGATATTCAGATGTGATTTCATAAAGTAATTGGCCTAATCAGCTACAAAATGGATGTTTGTTTATGGAAGAATAATTTCCTGATGGCTTTACTTTTGAACATGAAATTCCTTTTTCTAAAATGAATATGAAAATTAACATATTTGTGAGTCCTTGAACAGTCTTATCAATCCCAGCAAGTTAAATGTATCAGCAAGCATGAAGTGTCCTATACACACATATTTAGCAGGATAAAACATGTGTTCAGTACTACCTGTCTGTTTTGTCTTTTGTGTTTTAGCTTCCTGGAGATAGGAAGAAGGTGAGTGGATACTCATTGCCATTACTCTGTGCCTTTATCATATGAAATTCTAGAAATAGCATTACTATCTTCATTGGCCCCAGATACTGAAAGAATGCTGAATGGACATCAGAGCCCATTGAATCCTACACTGGGAAAGGACCTTAGAATTTTTCTAGATCAATTCTTCACCCAAGCAGGAATCCCATGCTGAATAGATGGCTAATCAATTTATGATTTACAACATTTGCTGACATAAATTTCATTCCTATGAAAAGGATCAATTTTCAAGGAAGTGATTCCAGTTGTTAGAGTTGTTTCTTGGACAAAGATAATATAATTTATCAATAATTCCTGCTATCAATTCTGATACCTCCTGTGGAGACTTACCTTCTGAAACCTTCCAAATATTCATTCATCAGAAAATTTGAATGAGGAATTCACTGATAGCAACACAAGTATAAATTTTTCTGACATTTTATTTTGATGAAATTCAAATGGATTCTGGAGTGAAGAAAAATATAGAGTGAAAGAGACAAGAAAACAAAATCAATAGTTTAAAAATTACAATGATTTGAGTCCCCAACATGCTTTGTTGGGGAAGCACTTTATAACATTGATAAGCCACAAAAAATCTAAAGATTCATCATAATTAATAACTATTTTACATTATGGCTAAGAAGCTATAAAACCTGTTAAACATTATATGAGTCTATACTTAGACATTGAGTTCTAACCTTGAATATAATATTGTTTAGATTACAGGCTATGACCCATCATGAAAACATTCCAGCATTTGTATTAATGAATTAGATTAAAATGGACCAGAGTAAAATAGAAAGTAACAGGGCATTATGCAGAGTAAACCTTTACATATTTAAAATATGTGTATATGTACTGGGTAGACATTTCTTCCTGTAGGATATGACCAAAAAAAAATGGAAATTGCCAAGTATTGGGAAATTTTAAAAGTTTGTGGGAAAAAATGGATTTAAAAGCCAGGCACTTCATGTTCTCTCTCATATGTGGAAGTTAAAAATAATAATAATTGTTGAACTGAAATTAAGATAGTTATTACCAGAGGCTAGGAATGAAATAAGCTGGATACTGGGCACTAAAACACACTCAAATAGAAGTAACATGTTCTGCTGTTCCCTAGCACAGTGGGGTAGTTGTGGTTCACAGCAGTGTATTTTATATTGTATAAAGAACTGGTGGAGAGAAGTTGATGGGCTCCAAACACAAATAAAAAATAAGGAATATGATTGGCTTATGATAGGTATATATGTATAAGCATTATATGTTTTTAAAAAGAAAGAAAATGAGAGAGACAATATTTTTTAAAAATCCACATTCCATGAATGTTTGTGGACCCTTTGTGTAGATAAATAAATGGATATATGTAAAAATAAAAATGTACATACAAAGAATAAGTAGGTGGCCAAAAAGTACATTCAGGGTTGACGGGGTGTTAAGATGGCTGCCAGTCGGCCGCTTCCTGACCGAAGAAAATATGTGGAGTGGGCTGCTGCCTCCTGGCCTAAATGAAAGTGATGTTGAGTCAAATTCTGAAGATTAAACCACACCAGATAACTCTGGACTTAACTCCCAAGACGGTGAAGAGGATGGGACTATTAGGAACACAGAAATCTCAGATTTACCCACAGATGGACCAAAAGCTGAAACAGAGATGATTGTAAATGCATATGAGGCGTGTCCTTCTGGAATTCCCTTAAACATGTGGAATAAATTTCAAGAATTGCATAAAAAACATTCTGAACAGAAAATCTCAACCTCAAAATTTAGAGGGAAAAAAAGGAAACACTCCAGAAAAGATAAATTGAAGAATGAAAAAGAATCTCATGGTGAACAGTCCTCAAATGAAACCCAGTGGAAGGAGCTTACTCAGTATTTTGGAGTCAATGATCGATTTGAACCCCCTGTTAAAAAGAAAAAAGTTGAAAAATCGGGCCTCGAGAAGAGGATCGACCAGGCTGTGGAGGAGTGGGATGTTGAGAAGGCCGAGGAGCTCAGCAACCAGCTGGCTACGCGCGAGCTTGGTGTGAAAATTGCCAAAGCAATTGCCTGCCACAAGTTTGTAAAAGCCAAAAAGGAGGCTGAGAATTCACAGGCTGCTCGAAAAAAGAAGAAGCTTGCATGGGGGTTTGAAGCCAAGAAGAGATGGGAAACCAAAAGCAACATGGGATATATGTGACTTGGCGCTGCTGCAAGATGCCTGTGGACTCTGTGCCGAATTCCTGAGAACACCTCCTGCTCGTGTTAATGTGTCAGGAAATTAAGAAAAGTAGGAAAAAATAAGCATAAAATTTGGGAGTTGGTTATCAGCGCTTTTCAATCTTTTTTTCTAAGGAGTTCATGTTATTGAAGTGAATGAAGTGAACCATTTGTTATAAGAAATGCTATTTGTATAAGAAATCTGAGCATACATATTGGAAAAAAGGGTAGGGCTGTATTTATTTATTTATATAAGTCTACAGTAGAAAATCAATTTTGCTTTTCATCTGTTTGGTATAGCATAACCAATGAGCTTCTTGTACTTTCTTATCTGTATTTGGTGTAACTGGAATCGTGTTTTTAAGATTGGAATTTGTTTATAATGGATTGGTAGTAAGTTCAAAAAGTCTCAATTGATACTGTCTTTAAAATGACTTTAATTACCTTAGTCATGTAAAAGTAATTACTGATTCTTTATTGGCAAAAGTTGAGTGATATTCCATAGTCACATAGTAAAAGCAATTGATTAATTTTGTGTACTTTCAGGTCAAATATTACAATAAAAAATGGACAGACTGTCGTAAAAAAAAAAAGTACATTCAGGTCATGAGATAACACTAGTAGAGTAGAACAACTGTGGCACAAAAACTAAAAAACAAACAAACAAACAAACAAAAACAACTCTTGAAGTCCAACCAAAGTTATGGCTAACTGTCATTGCTGTCATTGTATTATTCAAGATCAGTAAAGATCATAAGTCACACTCCTCTTCCCTCTTTTCATTCTTATATCTAGCTATAAAAAACCCCAGCACACATTCAAACCATGGACCCAGGATTGCAAGGCAGGAATACACACAGCAGAGGTCTGATACAACTATCACCAACTGAGAAAATTGTCCACTGCTATGAATGGCAATTTAACATTAACAAAGTTTGAACTGTGGTAAAAGTTGCTTTGAAAAAAGAAGTGAAATTTACTAAGCACTGTAATATATTAACATTTAATTTGTCATAGGTGACACAACTTCCTTCTATTTCATGTGTAAATCATTACTTTCACATAGTAAGTCATTAAGAGATCAAAATGTCTATATTTAATAATTTTAAATACTTTTAATATTTTAATGATTTTATAATAATCATTTGTAATATCAACATGAAAAGTGTTTTCTTAGGAAATATTCAAATAGTGTGACACATGGTTGTAGCATGTTTCAGCACTTGGTCCAGACGTTCTGACTTGGTGAGCTCCCTTGTGTCTTCCACAGGATAATGGCAGGAAATCAGACCATGATCACAGAGTTCATCCTACTGGGTTTTCCCCTTGGCCCAAGGACTCAGGTATGCCTCTTTGGGCTCTTCTTGCTGTTCTACACCCTCACGCTGCTAGGGAATGGGATCATTCTGGGACTCATCTGGCTGGACTCCAGACTGCACACCCCCATGTACTTCTTCCTCTCACACTTGGCTGTTGTTGACATTGCCTACGCCTGCAACACGGTGCCCCAGATGCTGGCGAACCTCCTGAATCCAGCCAGGCCCATCTCCTTTGCTGGCTGCCTAACACAAACCTTTCTTGTTTTGACTTTCGCTCACACTGAATGTCTTCTCCTGGTACTGATGTCCTATGATCGGTATGTGGCCATCTGCCAGCCTCTCCGATATTCTGCCATCATGAGCTGGAGAGTGTGTGTCACCCTGGCTGTGACTTCCTGGATGTTAGGAGTCTTTTTGGCCCTGGTACATCTGGTGTTACTTCTACCATTGCCCTTCTGTGGACCGCAGAAAGTTCATCACTTTTTCTGTGAAATTAGAGCTGTTCTCAAACTTGCCTGTAAAGACACCCACATCAATGAGGTCATGGTTTTGGGCAGGGGCAGTCTCTGTGCTAGTGGGACCCTTTTCTGCAATTGTGGCATCCTACATTCATATTCTGTGGGCCATCCTATAGATACAGTCAGGGGAGGGGCGCCAGAAAGCCTTTTCCACCTGCTCCTCCCACCTCAGTGTGGTTGGGCTTTTTTATGGCACAGCCATTATTATGTATGTTGGGCCCCAACATGGGAATGCAAAGGAGAAAAGAAGTACCTGCTGCTATTCCACAGCCTCTTCAATCCCATGCTCAACCCCATGATCTATAGTCTACGGAATAAAGAAGTCAAAGTCGCACTGAAGAGAATGCTTGGAAATGAGAGAACTTCCTAAAAGCTTGATACAACAAAAAGATAACTTGGTTTACAGGGCTCTTACAAGCTTCTCATTCCATACTTACAAAGGATACAGACATGCTTTAGGGCATCCTTTCCCTCTTCTTGATATTTCCTGTTGAGCAGCTCCCAAGAAAGTCTGCTCGGTTCTCCTCACTCTAGCACTGAATGTCAATCCTGCACAAGTAACAAAAATATCTCCATACTAGATGTATTGTGGGCACAGTTTTAATGTGGTTATGTGAAATGTTATGAGTAAGAGGAAATAAATTTGTATAGTTTTATATCTGTACATAAGATGTGTTATCAAAATTATATGGAACAAAGCAAGTCATTGGTATAGTATTTATGATATAGGAATTGAGAGAGAAAGGGTTTTCAGATCACACCCATGGGGGCCAACTTTGTGGCCCCGCAGGTTAAACTGCCATCCCTGTGCATGCATCACCCAGGAGCATGGGTTCAGATTCTGCTTGCTCCACTTCAAATTCAGCTCCCTGCTAATGGACCTGGGAACTCCGTCAATGATGACCCAAGTGTTTGGCCTCTTCAAGCCACATGGGAAACCTGGAGTAAGTTCCAGGCTCCTGGCTTCAGGCTTGCCCAGCCCCACCTTTGTAGCAACATAGGAAATGAAGGAGTGGATGGAAGATTCTCTCTCCATCTGTTGGTCTCTTCATCTTTTGGTATAACACTGCCTTTCAAATAAAATAAATAGACTTTAAAAATAAATAAAAGATTAATTATACATATTATAAGGAGCCTAGATCCAGGTGTTGAATGAACACAGACAACTGACTCACAAGGGAAGAAACCAATTGTTTAAGTGTAGTGACTGATAAGGTGGGTGACAGGAGCAGCACTGAAGTTAGCATGTGGGGTTCCTGCATCCCATATCAGGATGCTTAGTGTTGTGTCCTAGTTTTGTTCCAGTTTCAGATTCCTGCCTAAGCACACTCTGGGAGGTCTTAGGTGAAATTCCAAGTACTCCTATGTGGGAGACCTGGAGAGAATTCCAAGCACCTTGCTGTCAGCTACCAGCTGAAGCTTTTGTAGCCATCCAGGAAGTGACACAGGAGTTAGAAGATCACTGTCAGTCTCAGTCTCTTAGAATGAGTATTATCAGACATACCAGAGCTGACAAGACTTGTGGAGATAGAGAGAGATGATAACACTGGTACAAGGATGGGGCCGGGTAAATTAGTAAAACCATCACAGAAAATAACAAAAACAGAAATAGAATTATTACAGGATCTTCAAACACCATTGCATGGTAAAAGGAATATGAAATCCCAGGGAGGTGTGCATGGGATCCACAGTCACCATTGCAAACACATCTGCAGTTCCACTTTCAATTTAAGCAGTGTCGTTCAAAGAGTTCACACATATAACCCACTTAAATTTTCATGGAAGAAGGAATCAGTAATGGAAGAAATGGACCAGGAACAAAGGAGACGTTGGATCAAGGTCAGAGTTTCAGTCTGACAGGATCCACATGTTGAAGGATCTACTGTACAGCACAGTGACAGCAGTTAAGAGAATATTGTGTCTACAGAATTCCAAAACAGGAGACAAATGACATTCTACCATGGAAATGTGGATTTTGTGATGATAATGACAATAAGTCTGACTTCATAATTTAACTCAATATACATTTTTGTCAACACATATCATTGTACCTCATATGTCTATATCCAATTATTATTTATCAAATATTTATGAAAATGAAATGGCAACAATGGAAATCATGAAGATTCAGTTCTCTGAATACTGGTGTTGTGTTTGCCAATGTTTTATGGAGATGATAAATAAAGGCCAGTGTACTTAAGGCTAGGCAGCTGAAACCCAGGAGCATGGAACTGCATCAGTGTTCCCACCTTGGTGACGGGGCCTCCTAATGGATCCATCATCTACTGTCCATACAAGTAGGGGAAAGTGTGTAAATGGGCTCCATCCAGCAATCTGATATGCAGCCTGGGTGTCTCCCTATCTAATACCGATGAAAGCCTACAAATGGATTGATGATGCCAGTCAGCATAGACATGGAGTGAAGAGCAGGGACTCTGGACAAATGGTCTTTAGGACTGACTCTTCATGCAGCTGTGATTCAGCCTTAGGACACTGGTCATCATGCTGGAGCCACAGATACATCTCCCCATGAAGTGGACTCCGGTCCCAGGATGCACAGCCTCTGTGTGTACCACTTTCTGCTTTGCTGAACCACAGCGGGTGCAGAGGCTCCCACAAAACTCAAGCAAAACCAAATCAGCTGCATGTGCACACCCAATACTTTCCATTCAATTATTACCTGACTGCTAATGTCCAGCGCATTTCCCTCCTGAGTTCAAGCAGGGAGCCCCACAGGAGGGCCCCAGGATCTAGAAGATGAGGAAGTCCCTGTAGGCTTCCCAGGTGCCTGCAGAAGCTTAAGCTGAGACACAGCTGAGCTGCAAGTACATTCCTGAGTGCTGTGACATTCACACAGGGACCACAAACTGTTTCAGGATTAAAGGGAAAATGGAGATCTGGTATAACGTCTGTAGAAAGTGAGTCTGGATCATTCACAGTTTAAAATAAGACAGTTGGTTCAGTTCGGCACACAGGCTACTTTGACAAGAGGAGAGGGATGACTGAAATAATTGAGGTTAACAAATCAAGACTCTGGCTTGTCTCTCTCTTGGTTTGAAGGGAAAACTAAAATTGTCCTAAAGTCAGCAGTGCCCTGAGAATGCTATCCTGAGTCAGGCTGGACAACACTCACGAGGTCCCCAGATAGTCCCATATCTCTGCTCCAGGTGACCACTGTCATTGTTCAGAAACATAAACTTGTTCATATAGGAGTTCTTCCTGTCATATCAAACTTCTCCACATCAGTGAAGTCAGTGGCAGGGACAGAATCATCAAAGTAGAATTCTTCCCTCAAAACTGTTACAGAAGAGGAAACCCCAATTCCCTGACAGGAAACCAGGGCTTCCTCTCCCTTTGCTCCTGTGCTTGACCAGAATCTGCGCTCCGTGCATCATCTGCACCCCTGGTGGAGCCATGCGGCCCTGCAGGGAGGTGTGCGTCTGGGCTCAGCCTGAGGGCCCCTCACTGTGTCTCTAGGGCCATGTCAGGGACTTTCAGACTGTTCATTCGCAGATACACAGTGTTCTGGGTGTTGTCTCTGAAGATGGTGAATTGGCCATTCACTCAGCTCGCGTAGTACATGCTGCCACCAGTATAAATGCATCTGATCCACTCCTTTCCCTTCCCTGGAGCCTGGCGGACCCAGCACATGTAGTAGCTACTGAAGATGAATCCAGAGGCTTTGCAGGAGCGTTTCAGGGATCCCTCAGGCTGGACAAGGCCTCCCCCAGACTCCACGAGCTCCTGTCACTTGACACCTGCAAACACAGACAACCTGCAAACACAGAGGACTTGATCAGGAAACTGTCACACTCTCTGTGTCTCTCACTCACATCCTCTCCCAGACTCAGTGCCTGCGTTCTCCATCATTGCCTTTGAGCACAGCGACCAGGAGGACCCAGCACAGCCCAGTCTCCATGGTGAGTGTCTGTGTTCAATGCGATCACTGAGTGGACACCTGCGAGTCCTGGGGCTGGAGCTCCTGTGCCAGAGCTGCAGGGTGAGGGCTGATCTGGTTTTCATGGGCAGAGGGAGACCCTATTTACATGCGATGCTCCTATATAACCAGCCATGGGGTCAGACACCTCAGGCAGGACAGTGCCCAGGGCAGATGTGGTGTCCTGGGGACTTAACTGGCGAATTAACACAGGATTTGTTGTGGGATTCTGCATAGATAAGAATCTCACTCAGATTTGTTTTTTTATGAAGATCTTCATGGTGAGTGAAGTCTGCCAGGATGACAAATGCCTCGTTTCTGTCATACGTAGGAGCAAACACAGATGGAGAGCATTAGAAATGTGTGGGACGTGTTACTTGGGAGTCCACAGATAGAAACACTGTGTTCACAGATAAACCATCTACGTGGCAGTGCACCCTCTCCCCTCTCTTGATGCCCTTTTCCCAGCCTTCTACTACATGAAATGAATGATTCTATACAGGGAAGGGAAGTTTGTGTATGTATTTAATATCTACTTATGAAGGGACTACATCTAAACGATAAAGGTCATTGAATCTGAATAAATATAAATATATGTGTATATTTATTTAAAAGTCAGAGTGCCACATGCAGAGAGATGGAGAGACAGACAGGGGAGGGGCCTCCATATGCTGGAGTTCTCCCCAAACATCCCCAGGAACCAGGCCTTGCCCAGGTCAAAGCCAGCAGCCTGGAACTCCACTGAGGTCTTTCATGTGGACGGCAGTGGCCCATAACCTTGGGCCATTGTCAGGCGCCTCCCAGATGTATGAGCAGGAAACATGGCCTGAGGTGGAGGAGCTGGTTCTTGAGCCATCACTCAACACAGGATGTGGGCATCCCAAGAATGGCTTAGCTCACTGCACAAAAGTGCCTGTCCCTTGTGTTGTGTCTGCACAAGCACAGAAAATGTGATATTGGCATGAATGATACCTACCATGAACATGTGCACAGTTGCTGAAGGAATCACTAACAGGCAGTGCTGTGTGTCCAGGTGCTCTAGTCTGGTAGGAGGCACCTCCACAAGCTAGACCTGTTCCTCACCAGAGGACTTCCTACTCCACCTAAAAGCTCCAGGAGTGATGTGTGCTCTGTACCGTCATCGGTTGCAGTAGTCCTGTTTTCCTAATGATTTTGTTAATGTGCTGTGAAAGGTGGGATTTATGTAAGAACAATCTTTGAAGATAGGGGTATGTGAAAGCCTCTTAAGGATGTGTTTCTTCAGCCAGCGCCACGGCTCACTAGGCTAATCCTCCGCCTGCAGTGCCAGTACTCAGGGTTCTAGTCCTGGTTCGGGCGCCGGATTCTGTCCCAGTTGCTCCTCTTCCAGTCCAGCTCTCTACTGTAGCCCAGGAAGGCAGTGGAGGATGGCCCAAGTGCTTGGGCCCAGCACCCACATGAGAGACCAGGAGGAAGAACCTGGATCCTGGCTTCAGATCGGCGCAGTGCGCCGGCCATAGCAGCAATTTCGGGGGTGAACCAACGGCAAAGGAAGACCTTTCTCTCTGTCTCTCTCTCTCTCACTGTCTAGCTCTGCCTGTGAAAAAAGGAAAAAAAGAAAAAAAGAGGATGTGTTTCTTCCAAATTTGAAGTCAAATATCACTAGAATAACTTTTTTTAAAAAAAGGCAACTCACAGCTTTTTAGATTTTAGTGTGTGTGTTAAGAATTGAGTACACATCAATATACCTGTGTGCTGGATATTTTTTTTGTTTTTGTTTTTTTTTTATTTAAATGAAATTTATTTAAATATAATACATTTAAAAATCTTAAGATCCAAACCATGTTTTATCTAGGCGTGCATAAGAAAAGCTGATCTAAAAACAACCACATAAGGAAGTGGAAAAAATATAGATTTGAAAAGATCTAGAATCCTGGTAGCACTTCAATAATTAAGACTTCACAATGACAGATTGAAGAATTGTAACAGGGCATCAGTTTCCAACTACTGTAACATTTGTGAAAATAAATATTGATATCCAATCAGTTTAACTAAAACAGTTATTAATAGACAATATAAGTTATCTTTCTTATATTCATCATCCCAACTGCCATTCAAAAAATATTATATTAGTTTAGTTGATGCTGTCTTAGATACTGACAAGTGGGATATAAACATAAGTATAAAGCAAAATGTGTGAGTTTGAGGTTTGATTTGAAATAAAGATTTAAGAGAGATTGATTTCCTCCTTTGGAACCTCAGATAGTACTTCTTAAATATGCACAATTTTTATATGTGAAATTCTTTTAGATAATTTTTTAACTCACTGAAGACCCACCTTTATAGGCAATGGGGATATATCAGTGGGGAAAAAAGGACAAGGAAACCTGTTCTTAGGGAGCTTATGGTCTAGTGGGGGGAGACCAATCAGTCATTCCATCACTAAAATTTGTAATATGTTATGTAGTGATAAATGTTGTGGACAAACATGAAAATACGTAAGAGGCTGGAATAGGAAGTGTGCTGGATATTAACAGCAATCAAATATCAATTATGGACAAAAAAAAGTGCCAGTTTGTGTACTCCCACCCGAGAAGTTCACCAACCTCGCATTTTACTTCTGACAGGATATCAGTACAGATAATCCTTCCAAAGTCCCTTTTCCTCGATTGTTTGTGTTTTGATATTTTTTCTTTACATATAGTTGAACATAAGCATAGTATTTCAACTTACTGGCCCATGCAAGAATCTTAAATTGTGGGAGTATGAAACCACAGTCCTAGTTGTTGGAAAGTAAATAAAAAGATTTTAATTAGTGTTGGTACAAGATGGTTGGTGGGAGAGAAGATCAGCAGGAAGGCGTCTGGTGTTAGGTGACTGGCGCCCTTCACCCAAAAAGAATGAACAGCACAGGCCAAAGCCAGGTTGTACTGGATGTTGAAGGCCAGACTAAGAATCCAGAGACCATGATGTCACCAACACAGGGCCCTCTGGTGGCCTACAAAAATGGAATGGAGCACAGACTATCCACTATCTCATTTCTCCAGGGGAGACGAACTGAACCTAATAGTCTTCCCTGGTGGGGACAGATAAGCAGGAGGCCACAGCCTCCCCATGAACACTACAGACACCTGAAGTCCCAGCTGATAGAGAAGCTCACAATCCTCACAGACCCTCGGCTCAGTGGGACAATCTCTCAGGGGATCCTTGCCAAACATTTCACAGAAGCAGCAAAACCGTGAAATAGCTTGAAGGAAATTTAGCAATGGGGTGAGTGATGTCTACATGAAAATTCCAAATTGAGTTTCAAGATCCTGTCTCTGACCTGGCTCACTTGGGCATTGTGACCATTTGGGGGAGTGAACCAGCAGATGGAAGGTCACTCTCTGTCTCTCTTACTCATCCCCATGTGTTATTGCTTATGTACAATAAGGATGTTGAACCCATACAGGTGGGAAGTACAGTGGTGATCATCAGAGGCTGATCATGAAAAGGAAAAGGGGTGATGTTAGGGAAAGGTCCCCAGGTTTCAGGCTGAGAGCAGAAACTTGGTTAGTGACCTATTGCACAGTATAGTGACAATAGTTAAGACACACCATTGGCCCAACTACCAAAAAATTAAAGATGGTAATGGAAATGTAACAACAGACACAACAGAAATAAAAGGAATCACAAGAAACCACTACAAAGAGCTGTATGCCAACAAATTGGGAAACCTGGAAGAAATAGATTCCTGGACACATACAACCTTCTGAAACTGATCCATGAAGACATAGAAAACCTAAACAGAGCCATAACCAAGAAATAAATTGAATCAATAATAAACGCGCTACTGAAAAAGAAGAGCCTAGGACCGGATGGCTTCACCGCTGAATTCTACCAGATTCTACCAAATATTTAAAGAACAGCTAACCCCAGTTCCTCTCAAATTATTCAAAACAATTCAAAGGGAAGGAATCCTCCCAAATTCTTTATATGAAGCCAATATCACCTTAATTCCTAAGCCTGGAAAAGATGCAGCAGAGAAAGAAAACTATAGACCTATCTCTCTGATGAATATAGATGCAAAAATACTCAACAAAATCCTGGCCAACTGAATCCAACTACACATCAGAAAGATCATTCACCAAGACCAAGGGGGATTTATCCCTGGTATGCAGAGATGGTTCAACATTCGAAAATCAATCAATGTGATACATCACATGAACAAATTGAGAAACAAAAATCATATGACTATCTCAATAGATGCAGAGAAAGCATTTGACAAAATACAACCCTCTTTCATGATGAAAACTCTAAGCAAACTGGGTTTAGAAAGAACATTCCTCAACACAATTAAGGCAATTTTTGACAGGCCCATGGCCAGCATCATATTGAATGGGGAAAAGTTGGAGGCATTTCCATTGCAAACTGGCACCAGACAGGGATGCCCACTCTCACCATTGCTATTCAATATAGTCCTAGAAGTTTCAGCCAGAGCCATCAGGCAAGAAAAATTAAAGGGATACAAATATGGGAAAGGAGGAACTCAAACTATCCCTATTTGCAGATGACATGATTCTATATTTAGAGGATCCAAAAGATTTCTCTAAGAAACTCTTGGAGCT